ATCGTCAGTATTTATCACTCAAAATTTAACAAGAAAAGATTTTTCTTTGTGTCTGTTGGAAAAAATCAAAACTTCGACTATTAGAGAGATTTATCTAGAACATCATTGTCTCGTAGCAAACCATCGAATTGTCTGTGTAAGTGTAATTCAGTTCGGTTACACTTTCGATTGAACATATTCATTAAGTGATCTGAACTTCAGATCATTATAGGCTTCTAAATATTCTTGCTTAATAACGTTAATATCAACAATTTTTCTTTTGATTAATGATTCTTAATAAGATATAGATCATAAATTAAAATTAAAGAGATCAGTAGAGAAAATGACTAAAATCAAAACAATTACACTTGAAAAGATTGATGATCAACCATTGTTGAGAATTTTTTTTTGCTTTTTCACGAAGTTACTTAATCATTTTTATCCAAATTGTTGACGAACTTCATTCACATATAAATTTAATAGTAAATAAATATTCAATATGTTGGACGATCTATTTGACGATATTTTGCAATATATTCAACTTCTATATTCGATCATAAGCTACTATTATTCTTTAGTTCAAAAAAATATGAACGTCGGGCTCTTTTTCGAGTATAGCATTGATTCACATATCAAATACTTATGTTCAAGCCAGAATGATGTTCGAAATGCTGCAATAATCGATTTAATACTTGCAAGATCTTGATAACGAGACATTTAAGCAAAAATTTTAAATCGAAAATTTTTCAGTCGAAAGTATTTTCTAGTGAAATGAGTCGATAAAAAGAATGGATACGGGTTTCCAATCGATGATTAGAAAGTTTGATCGTTCATCGATTGTAGATATTGATGATAGAATAAAATTTTCTGCAAACATGATGAGATAAAAATAGAATACTTTGAATATCGAGTTGATGCAAAATACAATGAAGAACTTCAGTAGGAATTGTTAGAAGAAATGAATTCTGTGAAACGAGTAACAACAAACTTTCTATTATCGGTATCTTAAAAACAAAAAAACACAAGAAAAGTAAATATTCATCATTATATTTGAAGTTGAATTTTAATTATTTTTCAAATTAGTCGATACAAGACATTGATATTTTTATTCTAATCAATCAATATTGGATGAATACACAAAAGTCAACATACGAAAAAGATCGTATTGATATGTGTTCGAAAAGTTTTCAAATGAATCACAAGTTTGAATTCTACTCAAATTAGAGATAAGCTATTCGTTGAGGGAATGGTGTCATGAAAAAATCATATGTGTTTAACAAGAAAAATGATCAAGTAGATTATTTTTTTGTGTTTTGATTGTGAATGAGAGCGTGAAACGAACCGACTTTTTCATGCTCCGGTTCAGTTTGGTTCGATTTGTTGTCACGAGATGACTTAGATCCATTCCATACTATTTCCAACCCAGTGCATCTTTCTTTCAGAAATATATCAAAAGGAGGTGATTGAGGATGAATCTCTCCCGAAAAGATTTAAATACCTGGCGAGAGGTATGAAATGATTTATCTGCATAAAACAAAATTCACCTTTTTCCTATGACATCTCTTCCGCTGAAAAATTCTTAGCTATGTCTCTCCTTTCTTTCCTCTCATATAGATTCTTCTCTTCCTGTCTTTTGCATTATCACATATGGAATTTTCTTTTTCATATCTCTTTTGTCATCTGGACTTTTTCTTTATTCTCGTCTCCATTATGGTGTTTTTCCTATCTTGTTTATCATCATGAATATTTACATTACATCTAATCATATATATACAGAATGTAATTTCGCAATTAAACAACATTCCGACGAAGTTGACATTAATTTTCTTTCATCTTCAGAGTTAGCCTTGTAAGAAAATCGTATCCTTTACAATTGTAAGAATGAGAGTTTTACCGATTTCAAGGTGTAGATGTGAGTATGAGTATTGGTGAAGAGAAGAACAATATTGACATTCACACGTACACCCCATGCCGAAAGCTCTTCTAATAAGTATATTCTAACGACAACATAGATCAGATTAGTTACCAAATAGAAAAAAAAATAACATTGACAAAGGAGAAATATTTGTATGAAGAATTTTATCTGAAATTCTTTATAAATCTTGAAGATTTTCATTAATAATTAATTTCCTAGATAAAAACAATATTTTCTCATAAATTAAGTAAATAATTAATATTTTGTAGATTTAATATGCATTATTATTCATGATTGTTGTTATAATTTATGGTAAAATACACAGTCGAATGTCACGTGTTTTGACATTCTCTCTTCATAGAATAGCAAAAAAAAAGAAAAGAAAAACAAAATATTTTAATTTTTTTTCTTTTCGTCTTCAGGTCAACATAGTCGATTGAAGGAATACCTGCAATATATTATGCTGAACTTCGATAAAATGCGGCAAGGACAGAAAAAAAACAGAGAACACCATAATAAAAACAAGTAGAGAACGGAAAGAAAAACGACAACGATTACGTACCAATTTGTTTCACTTAATTTGGCTTCGTATTTTTTTACAGTCGATAAGAAATTTTTAGTCTTCGAAATTTGATTTTTCAATTATTAATTTCAATAGAAAATCAACAATGAATCAAACAGACCCATCTGCCGGTATTACTTGTCTTATCAAGCCTACAATTGTTATAGTAGATGCGACAATACATTCAAGTAAATATACAGTTTTACTTTATATATATTGTTTAAAAATTATTCGCTTGAAAAATATTCATTCATTGATCGATCTTATTTTTTTATACAGCAAATAAAACATAATTGTTTCTTTGTTCAATAAATCTTCTAGGTTTTCAATATTTATTTTAGACAAATCTCGTCGACGACATATTGAATATTTACCTTATCCTGATTGGAATTTTCTTGAAGAATCTCTTGAAATTTGTTCAAGTAATAATAATGAAAAAAAAAAGTTAGCCTATTTTTATGAATGGTTTTTATTTTTAAATAGATGAAAAATATCCATTGGAACAAGTCTATTTGAAATGTAACAAAGCATTTGTCGATAGATTACCAATTGAAGTAATTAAAATAACTGCAACAAGAGATTATAATCCTGTTACAGAATTTCTTTATCCTTATCGGTAAATATTTTTCTTATAAATAAATCTTTTATATTCGAGAAAATGATAAAAATATATTAAAAAGAAAAAAAATTTTCTTTCAGAGTAAAACGGAGTTCTCATCATTCTCCTACATAATATTTTTTCGAAAGAGGAGAAAGAAAACATTTCTACCGTTTTTCATTGCCATGACATAATTGTAAAATAAAATAAACGTGACACTAGAAATTAACGTCAATATGGACATCAAATTAAATACATTTACAAAAAAAAATTTTTTTTTTTTTTTCATGAAAAAATCATCTGTAGTTTACCAGAAGTTAGTTTTTCACAGGAAAAAAAATTTCTATAAAATATATTTTACTCGAATTTGTAGTGTTATATTTATTTTATTTTAGAATCATGTCATGTTAATCAAAACCCATAGAAATGTTTGTTTTTCTTTTCTTTTAAGAAACCATGAAAAATCATTATGTAGAAGAGAACTGTAACTCATATTGGACAATGAAATTCCACTAAACACATAATTTATTAGAATATATTGAAATGAATGAAAAACATTAAGTATAGTGGTTTCAGACGATGATATTTCTTTCGAATGCATATTTTTAAAAAAATTAAAATAAAATAATTTGTAAAATTAGATATTTAATAACAGTTCGTCATGGCACTGAATTTGAATGGACAATTAATAAACGCTATAAACATTTTCATGATCTTCATAAAGCTCTTGTTCATTATGTTGAAAACTTAATGGAACGATCGATTAGTAGTTTAAATAGGTAAGATTATCTTACATAGATTTGATTGATTTATTTTTTTCTAAATATTTAATTTACAGAAATCATTTATCAAGAAAAAAATCAATTAATGATGAAGATTATTCATTAATTAGAAAACAAGAAGAAGAACCACCATGTTTTCCAATTCGTAATGATCGAATAGATTTTATAGATCGATTCTCAATAGAAGATCGATGTGTAAGATTTTGATTTTTTTTTTACTGTATTTATTTATTTATTTGAAATTATAGAAAACATTTGAAAATTATTTAAATAAAATTTTAAAACATCCAAAATTTCGTGAACATATCGCTGTGGTAATTATAGAATTAAAAAAGAAAAAGATTTTGAATTTATTTTTCATTAATTTAATTAACATAGAGAGAATTCTTTGAAGTGAGTCCATTATCATTTGTACATGGTTTAAGTATTAGTTTCAAAGAAGGTGCTATGGCTAAACGTTTAAATGATGATTTTCATCGTCGTTCAATATTTCTTCGAGCTCCATTTATGTGTGATTGTTTTAAAACTCATCGTGGACGAGAATGGTTTGTTCTTAAAGATTCATATCTTGCTTATATGAATCTAGATCTGCCTTCAATTGAATTTCCAATTCTTTTTGATTCGGCATTTGATATTCATCATGGTTTTGAACATACTGCAACTAATAATGGAATTAGAATTCAAAATTTACAACGTTCATTGATTCTTAAATTTGATAAAGAAGATGAAAGAGATGATTGGTTTAATTCTTTAATGGAAGTTAAAAATAAATGTCTTCTTGTTAATAAACATCCTTTTGGTTCATTTGTACCACAAAGACATCGACAATATGCTCAATGGTTTGTAATCTATTTCTTATTGAATATCTTTTTTTTTTGTTATGAAAAAGAGATAATCTAAATCATAAATAATAAAAATATTGTTTATAGGTTTACAAATGGTCAATCCTATATGGAAGCAATAGCTAAAGCTATATTAGCAGCACAAGAAGAAATATTTATTGCTAGTTGGTGGCTTTCACCTGAAGTAACTCTTATTCGTCCTTATGATGATGATTCAATGCGACTTGATAATTTACTTGATAAACGAGCTGTAACTTTTTTTATTTTTGTATTTTATCATTTAAATATATACACATTTAGGAAGAAGGTATTCGTGTTTATGTAATGATATTTAAAGATTTTACTCCATTAGTTGGTTTAAATAGTGCGCATACAAAATTACAATTAATGAGTAAAAGTGTAACTAAAAAAAATATAAAAGTAATTCGACATCGTGGTCATAGTGTTGGTTCTGGAAATATTTCTGCAATATATTCTTCTCATCATGAAAAAACTATTATTATTGATCAACGAATTGCTTTTATTGGAGGAATCGATCTTGCTTGGGGAAGATGGGATACAGATGAACATAGGTTAGTTATTTTTGAAATTTTTATTTTTATTATATTTTTTAAGATCTTTTATGTATTAATTTATTTTTTGAATAGAATAATAGATTGGGGTGATGAAAATATAACGGAATTAAAGCTTCCAAGTGAAATAATTGATCAATCTAAAGAAGAAGCTGCAACTAATACTATAGAAAAAATGGCAAATAATTCTATCCTTGGAAAAATTGTAAGAATATTCTCTTCTTTTCAATTTAATTCGAAGTCTAACTTAATCGAAGTCGAATAATTGTCATGTATATATTAACGATAATATTTTCTTATATTTTAATATGACATGTTTTTTTGATTCATAGAATTTGAAAGAAAAAATCCTTATTAAGAATTTAAAAGACTTGAAGATATTTTAGAAAATATTTCCTCTTTTTTTGTGAAACTTATTTATACTTTCGAAGAAAAATCGGTTATCGAAAGATTCGCGAAAACTTAATAATAAAACTCAGCTGTTAAAGATGCAGTCTGAAAACTGTAGAATCTTTTTTTCTGTTCATTTTAAGAAAATTACTCAACAATCACTCATAAACAGAAACGAATCTTATTGGCATTCATCATCATTTAGATTTCAAAATTTTCCCTTTTCATCTTCTGATCTTCAAATAACTCTTTTCAAACAAAATCAATTCCTAATGACAGTAGTACATCGATCATGTAATATTCTTTCTGTTCAATCAAAATTAACTACTTATCAAAAGAATATATTAAAAACGTTCACTTCAGTTAAGTTCATATAAACAGACGGACCATGATTAGAAGATTCTATCAAAGACATTAGCTGTTATTGCTATTTCTGTCGTCATTTTACTTCTAATAAATTATATGTCTTTGAGAAGAATCAGAAATTTCTTCATAAACAATTAAATACATAAAAAATACAAGCCGAATGAAATTTCTCAGATTTAGAGAAGAAAAGTAAGCTCTTCAGGACGTCAAACTATTTCCTTATAACTACTTATGGTACCACAAAAGGACTGAAATGAACTGAACCCACTCTAATCTAAATTATTGACGCCATTGCTATTTGTTACATAAATCAGTTTAAAAAAAACAAAGCTACAAAAGTATCACAGGAAAACTCTTCGTTTTTATAATATAAAAATCAATAGACTAGTTGAGATCGATTTTATTAAGAATAATAATTAAATTTTATTTATAAAAGGTTACGTCAACAATAATTTCAAGACCATTGATGAATGAAATAAATTCTGATCAAGAAGAAGAAGATCTAGTATTAAAAACAAATCAAAATAAAAGTTGTTGTTTTTTTTTTCATTATTTCTCAATAATTATTTATTCATATTGATTGAAATAGATCTTAATGATGATCAAACAAAAACATTTGGTAATATTCTTATTTAGTTTTGAAATAAATTTAATTATTTTAATTTTAAGGATCAATGAATTCCATAAATAAATTAAATCTTACCGAAAGAAAACTTTTAAATGAAGAAGATAATATTCAAAAACAATCTTATAAATATAAAAAGAACTGGAAAAAAATACTGAAGGTTAATTATTTTATAGAATTATTTCTAAATTCTATTTTGTTTGTTTTTTCTAAATAATAGAAACATAAAAAAAATAAAAGTGAAGATTCATCATCAGATGATGATGAAGAAATTCCACAAGAAGAATCAATTAAAAATAAATTTAAATCAATTATTAATATACCACCAGTTTTAAATAAAAAACGTCGATATTTTTTAGGCAAAGATTATTCAAATCCTTATACAAAAGATTTTGAATTTCTACATAAATTCGATGAAGGTTAATCATTTTATATCAGAATTAATATGAAATAATTCATTTTTCTTTTATAAAAGATTATATCGATCGAAAAAATCATCCACGAGTGCCATGGTATGATGAAGGTTTAGTTGTTAGTGGAGAAGCAGCAAGAGATTGTGCAAGGCATTTTATTCAACGATGGAATATTCATAAGGTTTTATTATATATAATTTGAAAATTTTCTATATTTTCATCTCTTATATTATTGAACAGGCAAGTAAATATCCTAACAATGATTTATATCCATATATTCTTCCAAAAACTTATGATGATAAAGAATTAATTGATTCATCAATGCTTTATAAAATTCTTGGAGAAGAACGAAAACCTATTTGTGTTGATGCTCAATGTGTTCGTTCTGTTTCATATTGGTCATGTGGAGTACGTGATATTGAATGTTCAATACAAAATGCTTATATTGATATGATTTATAATGCTCAACATTTTATTTATATTGAAGTAAATTTTTTTTTGTCTATTATTATTTATTTAATAGAAAAAAAAAGAAAATTATTTATTTAGAATCAATTTTTTGTCACAACTGTTCAAGATCAAAAAATAAAAAATAGAATTGGTGATGCACTTTATAATCGTATAATACGTGCTCATATGAATAAAGAAAAATTTCGTGTTTATGTTGTATTACCATTATTACCTGGATTTTCGAATGTTAATGTTGTTCAAGCTATTCTTGAACTTATTATGAAATCAATTAATAAAGGAGAAACATCAATTTATCAAAGATTAAAAAATCATGGTATTTGTTTTCTTTTAGTCTCTAGAACAAATAAGATTAATTGACATTTTTTTTTTCTCAATGAAAATTTAATTGAAATCGAATTTTATTTAACATTTTCATATGAAATGAAGTCTTTATCTAAATTGAATTTATCATAAAATCATATTCTATTTGTTATATTGTTCAATTTGAATACTTATCTCGTAGTTAATATAGAATATCGGTTTATATAACGTTAAAAATCAATTAGATCTAAAGAAAAAAGGTCGTATCATATCGTTTTTGAATCGAGAGTATAAACATCACGTGGGCCCTAATAATCTATGAATACCCCGAAAAAGAGTTCGTGCTGCTGGCTGATTAGTGCCGAGATATTGCATTTTTACGGTAGTTTTAAACACAAAGCTGTGGCCTCCGTCAAGAACACCAGGAAAATTAAGTTTCGAATTCCGAGCGGAAATTTCGCATAGAGATAAGTTTCAATAAGAATAATTTTCTGTGAAAATTTCAGATCTTTTGATTGTATCTACTCTAAAATACAGCTATGGTAAACTTAATTATCAAGTTACTTTAAATAAATTCATAATGAATTCAATAAGTCTAATAAATAGTACATCATTTAATTATCTATTCTTTAATTGAATAAATTTTATGTAGAAAATTTCTTGATTAATATTATTTATTGAAATAGGTATATCTAATCCTGAAGAATATATAACATTTTATGGAATGCGTAACTGGGATATATTAATGGGTACATTAGTAAGTATTTATTATTGTTTTATTTTATAACATAAAACAAAAACAAAAAACAAAATGCAACTTTATAAAGGTAACAGAAATAGTTTATGTTCATTCAAAATTAATGATTGTTGATGATCAAATGTGTATATGTGGATCAGCAAATATAAATGATCGTTCTCTTGTCGGTGATCGAGATTCTGAATTTTGTTTAGTTGTTAATGATATTGAAATGATTGATTCACAACTAAATGGTCAAACACAAAAAGTTGGAATTTTTTGTTCAACATGGCGAAAGAAATTATTTAGGTTTGATTTTGTTTTTTTTTTAACTTTATTTTTATAGTAAATCTACATATGAACTCTTTATAGACAAATGTTGGGTATTCAAAATGAACAGGACATGAGTGTTGAAGATCCATGTTCTGATGAATTTTACGAATATTTTCGTCGAATAGCAAAAAATAATGCACAAATTTATGAAGAAGTTTTTAATACATTACCTAACAATCATGTAAGAACTTGGGCTGATGTTAACACATACACACAACGATCTAAATTGAGAGATACTGATCCATTAATTGTATGTTTCATTTTATTTATTATTAGATTTTTATTCAAATCAAATATTTATTTATGTTTTTAAATTAAGTCACATGAAAAATGCAAAAAAATTCAAGGATTTATTGTTGAATTTCCATTAGAATTCGTAGCTGACGATATTCTTTTCCCCAAATGGACTACAACAGAAGGTCAAATCTTATATAAATTATTTTTATTTAAAACAAATTTTTTTTCATTATAGGTATACTTCCTATTTCTGTATGGGTATAAATGAAGAAATTTCAATTTAATCCAAGTGTTTTATAGAAACCAAAAAAACAAATTTTGATTGTTTTTCCCAAAAAAAATAAACAATTTAATATTGCTTGTGTTTGCTTTTTAATTTTGCTTTATTTTCTACAGAATTGTTTTTACACTTATTCGAATATCGCAAACATTTATCGGTGCTTTATCTATCATTATTAAATAACTCACTAAATTGTAGACTATATCATTAAATTAAATCTTTTTTTTTTTAAATAAATTATTATGAAATTGTTTCTTTATTATTAAAAACTGATATCAGCTATCATATTGAGCAAAATGATGAAATTATATATTCAGCTATCAATTCAAATTCACCGAGAAAGATCATCATTAATGAGAAAACAGTAGGACAGAATATAGATTACGTGGGTGTGGGAACGAAGAAAAGTTTCTCACCCACACCTACATCCATACTTACCCACCATGCTCACACCCCACATCGCCACCCACTCACACCCACATTTGTAAGAAAAAGTTAATAAATATCTATGTGCTTGGCAAAAGATTCCTTCCAATTCAAATAACTTATTAACCAAAAAGACAACTTTAAAAGTGTGCATGGATACTCGTTTAGTTGGAGCTTGGGTCTCTTCGACCATGCAAACCACAACAAACATCCTAGAAGTAGAGACTGGTACTAGATTGTTGGCTCTGGTGATCGGTCAAAAACAATCTAGCACACAGATTACGGAGCTGAAAATAGATCTATAGAGTGCTACTTTGGCCTGCCAAAATGTAGGAACCATTCCTTGGGAAAATCGTATCCTATTCAACTCATCGCTGTACAAGAGTTTAAGTCAGATAAAAAGTTTGACTGTATCGTTTCTAATCGTCTCTTATTTGAAAATTGTCTGCTACTCATAAAATTCCTCTCACAACTTAACCAAACACTGAGATAGATTGACCAAAGCTGAATCACTATCGTATATTCTTCGATTGCTGACAAACGAAGTTGTTGCGTTTGTCTTGTTTCATGAATAGGAAGAAAGGTCTTTTCAACAGTTGGACATCTGGCAAAACTTAATCATGACAGAAGAGGTCGTGATGAAAAAGAAAGCAGAAGTTTTGATTTTTCGACTCATCAAGAAGTATTATTCAAAGGATCAAAGGAAAAACGTCCGAGATCGTGTTCTACGAAGCACCAAAAACATATACCCTAACCTTTACAACGCTTTTAAAAGACCATTATTTATATCTCTGAAACTACTTTTAAGTGACAATTATCTTACAACTTTTTACTTTTTGCCTTGATCGTTTAGCTTCACAAAACATAATCCGACAAATAAGCATACTTGATGGTGAGTTTACCATCTTTGCAAATAGTAGCCTGATTTAAAGTGAGTTCCTTGTCTTTTCCCACCAAGTTATCAAATATATGTTGTGACAATTGTCGTGCAAAGGATTCTGAGGCGTCTCTGGGCAATTCATTGGGAAGATTGTCTACCGCCATCACGCTGATGTTGTTTGGGTTGGAATACGCAGCTTCTGCTTGCCCTGTAACAGGGTTATAATCGTACACAGGCTCTAGGATACTGGAAGCTCGTACTGTACTCGGAATAGAACCATTGATGTCGCAGGTAATATCCGCCACCAATCGAATTTTAAACTCAGGAGAAAGCATATCTTCTCTTTCAAACAATTTGGGCGCAGCAGGATCCCAAAACGCACCTGCCACTAACACGTCAGCTACTTTGGCGAACCGAAGAAAACTGGAAGTGTATTCCGTTGGATGTTTATGGAAATGCTCTGTATCCCAGGCTTTTCCATCTTTCCTTTGATAATAGTCTTTGGACATGAGTTGACAAAAAACCGCGTGCGAATAAGTTTTATTCAAAAAATCATTCACAGAGACGTCTGGTATGTTTGCCAATTTCATAATTTCTTTGGAACTGCTGCCAACATGACCATTTCCTGTCAGCACAAGTTTGACAGGTGGAAGCTGAATCTTCTCCATTTCCTTCACCATCTCTTTAAAATCATAACACTGATAGGCAGGTTGGAGGTCATACAACTTCTCCCTTTTCCCAAAATGAAGCAAAGCATTGTAGGCACCCACCAATCCTGCAAAGCAGCTAAACCCTACTGCACATTTTTTAGAAGAATCTGTAATTTTTTCATAATCAATAAGTGTAATGCCCTTTTGCAGAACAATTTGAAGAAGTTTGCGGTTATGCACCTGTTTTTTGGTGGTATGTGGAAACAAGAAATAAGTCTTCTTAGGAATCAGAGTATCTGGATTAGCTTCTTTCACACCAAAGAGCACATCACATTCGGACAGATCTTCTTTTAATTCAATACCCAAGTTTCCATATTCTTCGTTCTTGAACACCCGAATAGGCGAGGGCTGCACCAAAAATCGGATGCCATATTGCCTCGCCAACTCCACGCAGACCATGGGCGTAATCGCCACTCTATAGTCCGGTATGACACGGGTTTCTCGTAGAATGCCAACTGTAAGCATGCTGCATTATATATGAAACAAATAACGAGAGCGAAAGCATGAGGTTATGTATTCAAAAAAGTAATTTTAAACCAGCAATTCCCAGATGTAGTCTTATGAAAACTAAAAGAACAAAATCGCTTCCTTCTTGGTACACCATCATCGGTGCGAACAGTTATGAGCTGGAAAAGACTTTCACCATTACTCAACCTCTAAGCATTATGGCAGTGGCTAAAAGCCCGATCAATGTTGCTTGTTACGGAGACTCAACAGGAGAGTCAATGGTCATTGCGACTGCCGAAATAATGCCGTTCACCTATGGTTGTTTTCTTTCTAGGCAGAAATAAACGAAGCGACAAGCTTTAGCATTGAGACATGTACCGTGAGAGTGGCTGATTTAAACGAGTGTACAACGGATCTAGGTTTCAACATTACAGAGTCTACTGCAACATCGGTAACGAGTACAGAAAAGAATACATAAGCAGGTATGAGTAATGGATTCTCTACTGATATAGGAATGGCACTTTAACTTTAAAAATACTGAAGTTGAAATAGGTATGCTAGTGAGCGTCTTTGGTAGAGTATCTAATGGAAATACCTCTAGGAACCCGCAATCCTCTGTAGGGCAGGTATCTGGGACCTTGAAGGTCTATGTAAGACAGGTACTTTACAAGAACAAGCAGCCGTGACCGGTTTTGTCCTTGCTTAAGGGATTCATTAGACGGCACGTTCAAATTCATCATTATCCAAAGATAACAACGGAACTGCAATCAACCTCTCTGAAATAGAGGAGATACAATGTTAAGTATGGCTACTATATCAGAACAAGCAGTTGTCTAATGAGTCCCTTAAGCAAGGACGAAACTTATCACGGCTGCTTGTTCTTATATTGTCGATGCCTATGTCAAAACTGGACCAAATTGCCATGCTTTCCATCGACAAAATCGAAAGGCTCTTCGGATAGAATTATATCAAGGTCTCAGGAATCATTGGACGAATGGAGCCGAGATAGAAGGCTTAAAATCTGGACGAATCATAATTCTTGCCCCAAGTTTTTGAAGAAAACCCCAGAGCAATACAATAAAACCACCAGAACGCAATGGCAATTGTCCGAAAATATGGGAAACTTGACTTGTTCATCACATTTACATGCAGTCCAACATGTAGAGAAGTCGAAAAGCAGCTTTTATCCCGCCAAACTCCGTCGGATCGGCCTGATCTGATTACCAGAGTCTTTAAACTCAAACTCGATGAACTTATTGATGATATCTTCAAGAAGTACATACTAGGGCGAAGAATAACCAATGTCTTCGTAATCAAATTTCAAAAGGGTGCTTTGTCACATTGTCACATGCTCATAATTTTGACCAACGAATAATGACTTACCTACACTATATTGTTGACGTGAGTAAAATGAGGTATCGTGTTCGGAATCATGCACATGTTGTAATGAAACAAGTATAGATAAGAAACAGAAAAAAATCATTACTATGCTCTAGCCCATCACATATATACTCAAGATAAAGGTAACTGAAAGATGGATAAACAAGTATTTTAAGGTAGGTATAGTATTTTTTGAAGGTCCGAACTTTCGCTGAATTGTGCATATTTCTTTGCTCTCTGACAATAGTGCTTATATTTAATGTTTAAACAACAATTCTCGTGCATCAAATACGACATTCTCACTTCAGATGATTCGATTCACACAATATCGTTAACGAAAATGTGCAAATGTGAGTTGAATATGATGATCCTGTGGATTAGTCAACAACCTGCTGAACATGGTTATGTGAACTCCATCGACCCGAAGGTCTGAGTGAAGTTGGCATGCACTATTGCAGTATTCAAAACTATAGATACAACACCACTTGTTCCTACTACTATTAGTCTGATACAGAGCAAAGTTACAACTAGAGAATTCATTGACGAGAAGAAGGTCGTGCATAAGGATCAAACTTTTCGGCTGAGAAGCTTTGCGTAAAAGGCTTTAGGTTGGGAAGAGGAATATTTTCTGCATTGGCGCAAGTGTCCACATAAATTTTTCAATTTTTTTCAAAAAAAAATTGAATGTAAATCAAAGATTATTTTAGAATATCGAATTTTCGATCATGATAACCGACACGGGCGAACGGTCACAGTTTGAACAACTAGTTCAAAGAATCGCTCTGTAAAGCATGTTAGTTCGGACATGGCAGCTAAAAGGCGGCATGTCGACTTAAATGACTGCTTTACAGATTCAACACTCTAATGGGGAAACAAGCAAAATGATTTTACGTCGACCTAGTACTGATAGTCTCAAGCGCCAGCACGTAGTACAAGATGAATTCAAGCTCTTACAAATGACATAGTCGTTGGGATTACCTACGCAAACGCCTTATCATCTTGATGAATGGGGATTGCTTTTCTCCAGACCTTATTTAGTCATCGAATATATCGAGAACAAGATAGAATTTGCACCTTCCGATCTACATAATTTTATCCATCAGTTCGCTACACAGCTTACCCAAATTCATCGTCAATCATG